CACTTCAAAAGTAAAGATATTGAAATTCTGTATTCCAGATTGCCCAAACTGATGGTGTTTACTAACTGCACTGCTTCGCTGCTTTAGTATTTAATTGTCCTGTTCTCACAGCGTTGATGCACTTCAATTTTTTTGCCCCTTTGAATGTCTCTCAGAATTTAGGTTGCAAAATAACTTGATGGAAATATATTTATGTATGTATTTACCCTCTTCAGACAAGAAGAGGAGAATGTTTTTCAAAAAAAATTACTTTCAATTAAAGCTCGGGGTACCTTCTCAGTAACATTGACATTCCTTTGGTTTATTCTCTCTTTTCCCTTTAGGATCAGCATTCCCTGTTAGTAAAATACCAAGGGCTAGTAGTGAAACAGTTGATCAGCCAGACTAAGAAAACTGAACATGGAGACGGTGACACAACAGATAACCTGGAAGAGGAAGAAGCAGATGCCATTCGAAAAGAGCTCCAGGAAATCACTACATCTATCAAAGACCTTGTTCTCAGACCTAGGAAATCTTCTGTAACAGAGGAATAAAATTACTATTTGGTGCATCCAAATCCATAATTCAGTCAGATTTTTTTTTTCTTATCCTGAAGGAAAGGATAGCAGAAAATGCTTGGCAAACTTTAAAATTTAGCTTCTAACAATGGCAAATTACAGCAGGGTGATGATGGTAAATTAAGTATAATTATGTACTACTACAGTGTGCATGTAGCACATGTAACACAGTGTAGTACAGCTGTGTGCATTGTTCATTCAGCAGACTTCTTGAATTCATCGTCCAGTTCGCATAGCAGTTAGAAGTATTGTATTCTGTCAGCTCCTTGAGAAAACTTGCGGTATTGTTTATGCTGAGTTTCATTGAAAGATTTCAGTTTATGATCTTTCTACATAAGCTTTATACCAAAATACTGGCTAAAGTGTTTCCCTTGAGTTTTTTGCCAGCCTTGTTTTCGAATGTGCGGTGCTTTTTGTCTTCAGGATGGTGGTAAAATGTGTAAAATAGAGTTCTGCCACTTAATTACACAATTCTTGTATGTCAAATATTCTGCTAACTTACTTTTAAGAAAAGGTGATTTTCAAACAGGAGAGATTGTAGTTGCATTACTTCAGTAATGCCCATTGATTTCATATCTGTAATTTCAGGGGTTTACATAAAGTCAAGTTTGAGTAGTAAGACAGAAAGAGTTCTTTTCACTAAAAATGTCATTCGCACATCCTTGCCAAAATTCTCTGATGCTGAAAGAAAGCAAATTCTGTGCAAGCCCTACTCTGTTCAAATACTTGTTTTCCAACAGTTCATGTATTCTATAAGCTAAATCATAAATACATCAGAACCTGAAATTTGCAATAAATGGAAGTTGAAGAGGCCAAGTATGGAAGCTCAGTAACTGATAAAACAAGGTTAAGATAATTTTGGTAAGGTAAAAAAAATTGAATCTTATATATATATAAAAGGCAGTAACATTTATCAGTGTTCACAGCAGTGCTGATCTTCCACCAGATGTAAGGCAAAACAGTTTGCCAGTTGTAATGCAGAAGTAAAGGTAGTTGGTTTTCTTCCTTGGCTGGAGGCTTTCATAGCTGACAGTAGAAGACAATTAAAAGTAAGAGCTGAAAAATATTCTGGCTGTTTAACTTTGTTTAAGAAATAAAGTTTCCATAGGGGGAATAGGTTCAATTTCTTGTTATTTACCTAAAATAATTACTAAGTTCCTATATTGAATGTAAAGAATTTTATATGACACTGAGCTATTTTGTAAATAATATACCACATGACATTCTATATACAAATATGAAAGTATTTTAATAACATTAAATGATTAAGTATTTGAAATGCATTCTGTTGATTTAATCAATAGTTGATCATCTTGAAACTTGGATCTTTCAAAGAGCAATGAGCAAATGAGCCATTTGATTTAACATGCCATTCTAAGCATCCCTGTATTTTGTTCAATACTGGTTTATGCTGCAATAATAATGGACATTTTATAAAATTTAGTACATCATGTGTTAGACTTTTTGTATTGTAGCTAGTGTTAAAAGGATGATAAATATTTTAAGTGGATACATGGGAAGCACTAAAATTCAGAGATATCTTCTCGCTACTAACAGAATTCAAGGAGACATAGGTTGGAAAACCTTTGCAGATACTTTTGTTGCCTTTTAGCTGTGGAAAATCAGTCTTCAGTTTATGATACAGAAGTATTTTGAAAGAGAAAGAAAAGGAATATTCTCAATTTCCTGAATATTTTGCTAATTCATGGGGTTCTTCCTCTGCCTGGGAGGAATTTTCTTAGAAATCAGGTGTTCAGTTCACAAAACAAAACTGCCCTTTGACGGCACTACAAAGTATGCAGATTAACACACTTACTTTGATTTCAAGTATTTGGTCTCAGACTCTCATGCTCTTCACCTATGGTATTTAAACACCACCTTTGTATTTTTATAGACTCAAAAAGCTGATGTGTATATATGCATGTATGTAATATATACACAACTATTTATAAACATTGATCTAGCTTCATTTGGTGCTGCTCTCAGCAAATTGGAATGAGTGCATTAGCCATAGGTAGAATAATATCTCTCTCACCAATGGCCTTTCCTTGCCCTTAAGTAGCAAAATGTGACTTTCATAGCTGGTCATTTGGTTATTTGCAGGTCTGCTGGAAATAAACTCTTGCTCTGTTAGGACCTGCAGCCTTCTTTCCAGTTCTCTTGTTTCACAGCTTCTTAAAAAAACAAGAAATTGGCAGAAGTTTCTAATTAATAGCACTGGGGTTTGTTGTCCACATGAATCCATCCTACAGCTTGGTCAGATAAAACTACAGTATTCCTGTTCTCTGTGTAGGCTCATGAGTATCTACTTATGGAGTGGTTGCTCCCTGAATTCTTTTTTCCAATGAGTAACAGTTACATTTTTGTTAGGCTGAGAAAACACAAATCTCTACAAAACTGGATTTGGGTGGTGGTTTTAACTGGAAGTTTGGTACTCTTGCAGAAGACGCAAGAGTGACTATACAGGGTCAGATTGAAGGTCTGTGTGGCCCAGTATTGTGTCTTCAGCAGGAGCCAAAAGTGGATGCCTAGGGAGGAATATGAGAAGAAGGCATGTAGTGATTTTCCCTTGAGTGCTTTTTAAGCCTCCAAATACGTGCTACTTAAACTTCTTTAGCGATGATTGTATTTTAAACATAGAAAACGGTAATTATCTGAAGCTTTTGGATAAACAGGATACTGAGAGCAGAATTCCTTTCTCTGCTAGCCCAAATAACAGAACATATTCAGTAAATGCCAAAGATGTTTTCTCAGGAAAACAACAAGTTATTTATTTTCTTGGGAATTGTTAAGGAATGACTTTTAAGCTGAATTGGGAAGAGCATCTTGAGTAGTTTAAAGAGAACCACCATTTGGTTGATGGATTTCCCAAATCCTCAATATGAAGAAGTTAGGCCAAGACATATTGTGTCTGGTGAGGACAGATGAAATAAGCTTCTTTTTATTTCAGGAAGAGATGTGAGAGCTGTAGGAGGCATCACGTAACTGATACTCTGAAGAAGCAGCAGAATTTTTGTTGACCTCTGCAGTTGTACTCAATTTGCACCTGTTGGCAAAGCCTCCAATTCAATGCTTCTCTGGGGACGTCTTCTATTAACATAGCTGTGATCTCTGCAGTTTGCAAATTTGAGGATAGTCTTTGAAGATTAAGGAAAGTGATATGCTGGAGGAGGTGTCCATGCTTCCTTTCTGGACAGAATGTATTGCATTAGAAGTATTTTGAAGTTTCATTAGCTCTTTTGACAGATCTGTTTGGGTAATGCTTTTTTGTTTCTCTGATTTGTGAACTTCAGAGGGTACATGGTCAAGAACTGTACTTTCAGTTTTCTCTTTCTGGAAGTAAAGGCAAGAGGAAGCTATTCCTGATTCTCATTCTGGACTCAAATTCACATCTAACTTGTCCTTAATCTGCAGAAATCCCAAGTTTGTAATGTGCTTGGTACAAATAAAGCTAATAGCTCACACAGAAATAAAAACTAGTTTAATCTAGTTTAAGTGTATGACAGAATAATTGTCTTCAGCGTTTAATAAGCCAGACAACTACAAATAGAAATGGTCGACTCCTGGCAATAATAATTAGAGAAGTAGTCTTCATTGCAAGATACTACCTAAACACAGATAACCTCCAAAACACATCCAGATTTAGGAATTTTACCAAAGTCTTCAGAAAATGTAATACATCTTTAAAAAAAATTAAACATTTCCTTCTTTCTTCATCTCTGATACAAAACAGCTTCCACCCACTTGACATTATAGATTAAGTGATTCAGATCTGTTGGCTCTTGGATGCGGAAAAATCTCCCTGGAGGTCAGTTGTTCATACCACAAGCAGCCATCCTTTTCACTCTGCTTAACTTCAGCCTGCATTTTTAAATGGACATAATATCCTTACTTTCAGCTGTGATTGATTAAAAGCCTGAGTAGAGTCTTATGCAAAGTATAAGGACTTCCGTGTACTCCATGCACTCAGTAGACTGTCTGAAAGTCAACTGGTTCCTGTTCAGTCCAAGCAAAAGGTAAAAGAGATGACTGCAATTCAAAGGCCAGAACCGAAAAACACTGAGAGACAATCGAGAGGAGGCCACCACTGCCTCTCTGTTGGTAACACTATATGAACAGCTTCTTACCTGCTGGAAGAGTGGCGAATTGTTACAGCCTGGAAACTGTTTTAGCAGTGTCAGAGTTCTGCTGAGTCCCCAAAATTGCCTGAAATTTCTCCCTGACACCCATTTCCTGTATATAACAATCAGACTTCAGTAATCATGAGTTTTCTATGTGTTTTCTGATGTAAAAGCCTACATAGCGTCTTTTGGATTCATTATGTGTGGACCAAAGGTATCTTGAGATAAATGACAATCCATCTTTTTTTTTTATTTTCTCCATATACTAAACAGTTTGGGACTTGGGGGTTTTGAGTCCTTAGGGTTTTTTTAACAGAAATGCCGTTTTTCCTTTTGACAACTGTCTGAAATAGGTTCCTTTAAGAACCTCCTACTCGGTATTTGCAATTGTAAACACAATATGTCAAAGAATGATTTTTATTCAGTGGTGAGGCAGCCAGCTATTTGCATGTCATGAGGTCTAAGGGAAACAAACTGACCCTCAGCCTTCGTCCAGCCAGCCAAATTCTGATGGGACCCTCAAATAGCTCTGGCAAACTCTTCTGTTTCTTTTGGACTTGATGAATGCTTGTTTCTGTGAAGACGTGTAATTATTTCTTCCTTTATTTTGCTGCACAAGTTACCAAGAGAAGCAGCTTAAAACCCAATGTGAGTATTGAGCCTCTTTTTCATTATTCCTTTGTCTGATAATGCTTAAATGTGATAGTATAGGAGGTACGTATTTTAACATTTTAAGCAAGGAAGCAGGAACTTTTTCCTTCACACACAAAACTGCTAATTAAATTAGATGCAGAATTCTACACATTTTGGGGTTTTCTTTTAATTTTGTGTAACAGAACAGATACCACACTTTTTGAATGCAATTGTTTTAATTGTATTACTTGGCTCATTAATTTATAGGAAGATTGTTTGTGGCTTCCTCTGTAATCAGATGAAGATTAATTTTCTTTACTCCAAAGACTAAGCTAACAAAACACCTGTGTGCTGTTTCCTGTGACATTTGAATCACCATTTTTATCTTTTAGAAAGCTGTCAAAGCTATTTGCTGTTGTAGGAAGCTTTCTAGATAGTGTCTTTTTCAATAAGGTAAGTCACTTTTTTCTAGCATAACTAATTTTAATGGCGGAAGTGGATTGTTCTTGCCTTTTTTAAGTAAACCCAATTTTCGATCTGGTATTTATAGCCATATTTCAACTTGTTATAAAGGTCAAGTATCTTCTCCGAATTCTCCTCCCATAAGACACCTGGTTTTATCTTTCAGCTCTCAAATTTTAGGATCACAATTTTGGTTTGGAATTTGAAGGGAAAGAGTAGTATTGAAAGAATATACCACTGTTTACTGAAATTGTGCTGGAAACGTGTGTCTGTATTGCAGAACTCGAAAAGTATGGGTAATGGCCACAATAGTCCTTAAATTAAAGGCTGTGTAATTAATTGTACTGCTACCTGATCTCATAATGGCAGTCTTTTTGATAATGAGGTTGCAATTAAACTTGGAAAAAGCTCTCAAATGTACTTCCCATTTCAATAATAGAATTGTTAAAAACTATATTTCTCTACGTGCCCTTGTTTTCAAAAGATCTGTTTCTGTATCTAGATCTGGGCATAGAATTTCTCACATTTAGAAGACAAGTTTCAGATGCTTTTTTTTTTTTTTTCTGGTTAACATTTTTGTCTATATTTTTCATCTGTCTGTGTGATGCATTGACAATTCTAGAGTATTTTAACAGAACAGGCTGTAAAGGATTTAATATATTAACATTGTAACAGATTGCTGGTTGTCTTCCTGTGTAATTTTATTGCAGTGTCAGAAAAGTCACTTTGATTCAAAGTTGTGTAATCAATAGAAGGTTAAGAAGACATACAAACCTTCTTGTACAATTAGAGCAAAATGAAATCAAAAGCTGCCTGCAAGAGATTCTGATCGGTAGTGACCTGTGGTACCTCTGGGTTATTTGAAGGCAGTCATATTTTATGAAGTGTATTTTTGTTTGACTTGGTAGGACATATATTCTGTGGGCTCTATACCAAGAAACCCAGCTTGCTTCATTTTATTCTGTATCTGAGTTTCATTTCTGAAAAAAAAAAAACAAAAACAAAAAAAACAAACCTCCCCCCCAAAAAAAACAAAGAAGAAAGAAAATAATAAGAAAAAAGAAGTTAGATACTCTTAGTGTTGCCTAACCACAGACAAACAGAAACAAACACAAAAATCTGAACAGTGTCCTTCCAAGTGTCGAGCCCAAATTCAGAGCATGAAACTCTGACACTGTTCAGATGAGCAGCACTCGTGTTGACTAAACAAGTTCAGGCTTTTAGATCACCTGGGGAATAAAATTACCTAAGTTCTCCTGCACATTTCCCTGCTAGTTAAGGTAAGATGATGTCTTATGTCTAATTCTAGGATGTTCCTAAAATTAATGATTTCCAGTTCAACTGTTCTGTTAAAACTGCTAGAGCCCCAGGTTTGGAAGCTGTTGTGATAAAATGCTGCTGATGCTGCACTGGGGCTCTGGAGTGGAATTGTCTTCCAGGAACAGGGTGCGCAGATCTATTGGGAAGGAGGCTGTGAACTCCTTGTTTCATACATTTGTATTTTCCTGTAAAAAGTAAGGGGGATGAAATAAAGACGGTTTTGTAGAACTATACAAACATTACTCCAGAATCACTGAACTGGTGTATTAAAAAGAAGTTAATAAAACCCCATGACATAAAATTCTGTAGCAGATATATAGCGAGGGACAAGACTGTTACAAGGCTAACTAATCTCCCTTGGTTGCCTTTATAATGACGGCTAAATTAAGTTTCTGCTAGAAATCACCCTGGAGAGGAATCTATCTCTCTGCTTTAAGTATAAAAAGTGTCTTGTTCATTATCCTCAGTAGACTTAGGCAAGCTTTTGTGAATATCCCCATTCTTCTCTGATACTGTACAGTATGCATCAGCTATACGTATTCTCGTTTGCCTTTCTTACACTAAGAGTTCTCTTTGATTCTACTTCATTCATGCTAGTATGTACTTTTTCTTAGCCATTGTTGCCTTTGAATTTGACTTTTTTGAGATCCATACATAAGGACTTGTAAATTCTTTCACACCTCAGTGTGTTATGGATAATGGATCTGAACAGGCTGCCTTAGTTGATTGTTGGCTTCATATTTAGAGGCGTTATAACTCAGAAAAATATTAATCTTCCTGTAATATGTCTTTGCACAGAGATAGCAGAACTGATAGAAAACATGACCAAATGACAGAGTGTGGTGTAGTTGTTGATAGAGCACACACACGGGAGACCAGAATTCAATCCAGAGTGACCTGTTGTTCTGAGCCTCAGTTGCCTGTCTTAAAACCGGTTTTGTTATATTGGGGAGGAAAAAAAAAATCAGATCAAAGCAGTATTATCTGAGATTTTCTAGAAACAGCTCAAATTCACTGGAAAATCCTTCATAATGAGGAACTCGGCTCCTGTGGCCCTAGGAGGTTTGATATCGAACTGGAAAAATTCCACTCAGAACATTTTGCCTAAGAATATCAATCCTACCCTCAGCATCATTAAGGACAATTGCAAAGCTCACAACTGGAACATTTTATTGCTTCAGCTATTTTGGAAGTGTTTTCTACCTCTGGCACTGCAAGTTGACCACCCAGCACCTTCATACAGTGCTTTTTAACTATTCTGGGCTAGTACTGGACACAGCCTGTGAAGCAGACTCATCTAATGGCAAAGGCGCAGTGACTGTCTTCCCACTCCTCTGGGTCTGCTCTCTGACCTTGAGTAAGTCAACTACTTTGCTTTGACAAGTATTAACTTTTTCTGTAGACAAGTTATCTCACAACTGTGTTTTAGGATTATTCTTATTATTGCTGTTAGAAAAGCATTCTGAAACCTTTGAAAAGAAAGTTGTAAAATACTTCAGAGTATTAGGTTATAATTCTATCTATTAGAGGCTCAGAACAATGTTAGGCTGTAAATCTATATATCAGGAGCCCAGTTTTCCTCAAGTGAGCCGTTCAAGTTCCAAATCAGCAACGTCATGGTTCACTTGTGTATTATAACATGAAAAATTATGGCGTAATTAGAGTTCTGTTGTGATTCTGGGATTCTATTTGCATGAAGAAAAAGAAATGGAAAAGATTAGAGGAAAAACTGTTTCATGCTGATCTTCTGATTGTCGATCTTTGTTTAGTTTGGTGCTTGAAAACTGAAGAGTATTGAGAAACATTTCAAATTAAAGGCTCAAAACATTTTGGTTTGGTTTGGTTTTGATGGGTTTTCTTTTTTTAACACAGTAACAGAATTCTTAGTTGGTTTAATCACTTGCTTAGACTTTTAACTGAAAACATGTACCAAATTTGACATAAATTAGCAAAAAGGACTTGAATTGTATTTGTTCCTTAAATCAGTTTCTGTTGTTGCTTGCCACTGTCCTCCTCCTCAGATCGACCTCACCCCCTATAGCTGGTCAGAGTTACGGCTTCTGAGCATGATCCCTTACTGGAAATAGTCAGCTGCATTCTAGGTTTGAAAAGATGGTTGCTACATGCCAAGTTTCACGTCACCCCTTACATAGACTTTACCAGTTTCAGTGGACTTACCATTCTACAGTATCCTTAGGTTAAACAGCATGTTCATAAAATGTTCCTAAATGTTAGAAAGAAATTTCTTAGTCCCCACCAAATTATTCCAGAATTCTAAGACTTTACTGATAGTTTTTATTTGCCCGAGTCAAATGTTTGCTGTCTTGGGTGTTCAGATAAACTTTAGCCTTAATCCTCTTTCAATCAGAAAAGGACAATCCTAGATTGAAACCAGCTTTAATATAGCATTTATTTATAAGCATAGAAAGAAATCTACTCTGAAAGTCATGGTGCCAAAAACAAACAAAAATAAAAGACCTTTTCACATGCCAGGACATTACAAAAATCCCAGCAGGGCGGTAACTGAAGGGTCAGTAACCTCTTATCATAATAAAGAAAGACAGAATACCATAGACTACTCCTTGCAGAGTCTAATTTTAAATCACAGCCACTTTAAAGAAGATAGACTATGTTAAAATGGAAAGAAATATGTTTAATGTCTGGCATAGAGATTTTAAGGCTTAAGGGAAACGTAAGGATACCCAGTCACATAATTGTTCAGCAGACCTGATCTCCTAAGCAGGCAGAACAGGTAACCTAAGAAGCACAAAGATTTCAAGTACATAGCAAAGGTCACTGGCAGGACAGGAAGAGAGCCCAGGGCTGAGTCTCTCTAAGGACTAGTTGATGTTGCTGCTCACAGGACGTGAGGATCGAAGTTGAAAGAGAGTTGATGTCATGATATACTCTATCTTGTTTGATGGGACATTACCTCATCAACTACTGAAGGCTCAAGAGGTCTTCAATTAGCATTCTTTTCTGGTTAATAGTGCAATAAGCAGTCCAGGGCTTGTCTGCAGAACCAGATCATCTCTAGTTTCAGTGAAAAGTTTGGTAAGGTGACAGCTAAGACAAAACTGGCTGTTCATTGGACCTACAACTCTAAATACCTCAGAATAATGATAATTGAAGTAAGGATCTGTATACCAATACTCCTTACAGTAGCCTTTGCTTTCCTACTCTGTAATGCCACCCAGCTCATGAGAATCTTTTAACAGGGCTGAGATCAGAAA